CAATTAAAACAAGCCATTCTAGCCAGATAACAACCCCTCTATGTAGGTCATATCAGAGCTCACTCTGACCTTCCAGGTCCCCTGTCTGCAGGCAATGCTGCCACACAGTTACCGGTTTCCTCTGTTCAAGCTTTCTTTGCTACACCACTAGATCCAATACAAAGGGCCACACATTCTCACAGTCTCCATCATCAAAATGCACAGTCACTTAGACACCAGTTCAAGATTACTCGGGAACAGGCTAGACAAATAGTCAAGCAGTGCGCCAACTGTACTAGCCTGCTTCCTGAGCCATATTTGGGGGTAAATCCCTGAGGTTTACTTCCAAATCACATTTGGCAGATGGATGTCACCTACATCCCTAGTTTCAAAAGTACTCCCTATGTCCACACCATCATTGACACCAAGTCAGGTTTTCTGTTCACTATGGCATGAGCTGGAGAAGCTACAAAACACATCATCAGTCACTGCTTCCAGGCATTTGCCATAATGGGCATCCCAAAGGTCATTAAAACTGATAATGGTCCTGGTTATACCAGCAAAGCTTTTCAAAATTTTTGCCTCACATTTCAGATTCACCACCTCACAGGTATCCCTGATAATCCACAAGATCAAGGAATTCTTAAACGTGCCCATCGATCCCTCAAAAATCAATTAATAAAACAAAAAGGGGGAGTACACGGGCACTCAGTACACAACCAATTGAACCATGCACTGTTTACTTTAAATTTTTTGCGAACGGATGCTCAAGGCCAATCCGCAGTGGACCGTCTCTGGAATCCTAGTCCTGCTGCAGAAGCCCTTGTTCGCTGGAAGGACCCCCTAACAGGTGTTTGGCAAGGACCAGATCCAGTCCTCTTATGGGGAAGAGGGCATGTTTGTGTTTTCCCTAGGGACGAAGATAGTCCTCGGTGGCTTCGAGCGCGCCCTGTCAAGCAACATCATGGGGGCGGAAACGGAAAGCTACCAGTGGAAGAAGGAGAGAAAGAGATCGATTCAACCCTGGGAGCAGCTTGGCCCCAAAAAAACTTCTGATAGCATTACTGGTAATATTGTCTGGGCAGGTAAGTATGACCCGAGGGGACACTTATTGGACATACTATCCCAACCCTCCAACACTCATTCCCATTACCTGGAAGGACAGGGCAATCATGGTCTTGGTAAATCATTCTACTCCCATTAAAAGACAAGTTAGGAATATTTTACCCCAGCGCACAGTCTTTAATTATACTGGCCTGACCCATAACTCTCCACTGTGTGCCTTTGAGGAGCCCTTAATGGGGTGTCTCCCTTTAGGACAGGAGTTTAAAACAGACAGTAAAGTAAATTCCACCTTTTATACACGGTACACTTCTGTTGGGGTACAGATGTACTACAAGTACCACAATGTACTGTTCTTTGTAGGGCCAAAATGGGGTCATGTTAACAACACCCAAGAGACCCCGCCAATTCCTCCATGCTTCGGAGACGCTACTCCACAACAAGGTAGAATTCTATGGTTTGACTGTGCTCGTTGTCTACCAACTCACTTTCAGATATTCAATATTACTGCCTATGTCTATGACTGGTCTCACAACTACATAGCAAATGCAAAAGGCCTAGCTCCAGGGATGTTCAGTGCCCCTGTCCTTATCTCGGACTCTCATATTATTCAGAGAGAAATTTGGAGACTATGGGCGGCCTCAGATTATATAAATCACACCAGGTTCTCCTCAGCATTTGACCCAGGTCGTTCTTACTCAGTCACTGTTTGTGTCCAGGCCCCTGAGGTCATTCTGGTAGGAAACTTACAAATTAGCACAGTTCAATCCATATACAATATATCTTGTCAGAATTGCTATCTAATCAATTGTATTGATCCACAAGGCAAAGGGCGAAGTATTCTAGTCCTTTGCCAACCTCCATATGTTGTACTTCCCACCATCGAGCCACTGGTATGATAATCTAGGGATCCAAACCCTCACGGAGATGAAAGATGGTTTAAGTAGGGAATGGCGGGCAGTCAGTCTTATCATAGCCGGCCTTGCTGCAATTATTTCCCTTATTGCTACTGCAATTACAGACACTGTATCCCTATCTAATTCTATCAAAACAGCAGATTATGTTGAACAGCTTGCAGCTAATGCTACTGTTGCCTTTCATAGTCAAGAAAAAATAGATGTAAAGCTTGAGTTAAGAGTTAATGCTTTGGAAGAAACTGTTGTACAGATAGGCAAGGAGGTCGAGGCCATATGCCTCCAACTCACCCTCCAATGTCATGATAAATATCAAAGGGTGTGTGTAACCCACTATCGGATCAATGACACACTGAGATTGGAAAAGCATTGGCAATCACCTTCAGGGTATTTGGAATAGTTCAGACTTCAGCTTTGATTTGGACCAACTCCCCAAAACAATTCTTGCTATGCAGGATAGCAAGCTGGAAATTATTGATCTATCAGATTTGGCTAACAAAAATATTACCACGTTCAAGGGGTTTAAACCAGTCACCATCATCTAGATTATCGCCTGGACTCTATTAGGAATTGTAGTTTTCGTGCTGTTATTACCAGGTTTAATTTTGGTTTGTTGGGTACTCCTTAAGGCCCGTCTACGAGCAGCTGACACAAGAGCTCATTGCCAACAACTGTACAGAAATGTCAGGGAGGAAATAGGCCCGCCAGTGCCGCGGCGCAGCCCGCCATGTAACCCACAACGTAACCTGGGACACCGGCAAGAAAATCCCCGACTTTAAGCCTTTCTTCTTCCATAGTTACTATCTGTACACCTCTCTTAAATTTTGCCTTTCAAACCTACTGTTTATACACCTCCCATTAACACTTTTCATTGCTAAAACTACTTACAACCTCCCAAGACTACTCCAAGCCACTTACTCTCCTTCAACTCACTTCCTTGATCATATCTACCATCGTAGTCCTTTTCCCAGTAATCGTCTGCTTAATTTCAGTCAACATTTTATTCATCAAAACCTGTTTGCAGTCATGAGGACTGAGGAGATATCATGGTGCCAAAATCAGTCCCAGACCCCTGATTGTATATTTTGGCCAGTCAACCAAAAGCTTCCTAGAGAGCTCGTCCTAGTAATCACGGACACTAATCAGCTGCGGGGGACGGCGAGCCCCATCTGGAGAGGTAAAGGAGAGGTTAGTGCAAGACCCACTCTCTGGCTGCATCCTTAGCAAGGCTGGCACAGCACCTCTGCATACGGGAGAGGTCTCCGTCACCCGCAGGTAGTAACACATTGGGGACCATTTTTCCAAATTTAGGGCTCTTTTAACTAATAAATAAAAAAGAGGGAGTTGTTGGGAGCCGTTTGAGAGTAGTGAGACTGCCTGCTGAGAAAGCTGCAGGCCTCTGTGTTCTGTATGAAAACTACAGAACTCCATGATGGGTGAACAGCAGAAAGGGAACTGCTGGAG